AGAGAGAGAGAGAGAGAGAGAGAGAGAGAGAGAGAGTCGACGGGTGTGGATGTAATGAGATTCTGTCCGACGCTCTGCAGACCAAAGTGAGGAGATTCAACTCAGCGAGGGTAAACGGCGGGAGTAACTATGACTCTCATGAGATCGCCAATGCCACATCATTTAATTAGTGACACCTATGATTGGAGGGGCGAGGTTTCTACTGTTCGTGTCTACAATCCTACAGCCGAGGGAATGGATCTGGAAGAATACGCGGGAAAAGAAGTCTAAGGCTTCGTCATCTAATTAGCAGCTCGTACGATTGGATTAACGAGATTTCTATTGTCCTATCATCACGCGAAGTTCCAGTCGCGGAATCTTGCAGGGAGGAACCGGCGGCGAAGAAGCCAACGCCCTGTCGTCTAACTGGTGACACGCATGATTGGACTAACAAGATTCCTACTGTCTCATCTACCGTCTCTGGAAGCCACAACTGTTGTCCCTACCTACCACATTCAAGGGGAAGGGTTAATGCCCCGTCACGTGATTAGTGACGCGCATAAACGAGCCGACGAGGTTTCCACTGTCCTTCCCGCAACAACAACAACTAAAGGAAGGGGCTTGCGAGAATCGGCGGGGAAAGAAGCTCTGTTGAGCTTAACTGCAGTTCGACTCTGCAAGGTGAATAGAGAGGAATCAACGGATGTTGAAGCAATGTGATTTCTGCTCCGTGTTGGGAATGCCAAAGTGAGGAGATTCAAGTGCGGATGAACGAAGGATGTGCACGCCGAGCCTCATTCGGACTCGAAAGCCCCCCCTACCGGGCCACCAGACCAAAGTAGACCAAATCCGAACAGACCGGACCAGATCCGGACCAGACCAGATCAGAACCAGATCAGAATCCGACTTGACACAGACCAGACCAGAGAGCATCGCAACAGACCAGATCTGACCCAACCAGGACGTATCAGACCGGGTTGGACAAGATCAGATCACATCAGACTAGACCGGACACAAGACAGACTAGACGGGATCAGACCGGCCGGATCAGGCCAGACCAGATTGGATCTAGACCCGGGACAGGTCCTAGTCGCGCACCCGGGCGAACCAAGGTATCGCCTCTCCCAGGGCCGGGTTCCCTTGGGACTCAAACGGATTTTACAGACTCGTACTATGAACGAGACCCAGAGCCGTGTCGCAGTGCGAACTTTCATACGATTCTGAATTAAATCCAAACACTCATTTCGATCATTTCTACAATCTGTTTCGTCGTCAACAGTTTCTTGCCTTATATTGCAGTATCAGCGTATTTTGGGGATACTGACGAGGTTGATTTCTTGCAGGTCACAGGAGCCCCGATCGACCCTCCTGTGGGTGACATACACGGCACGAGGTATAGGGTTCGGTCGGCGTGCCGGCAGACCCCTTCTACCGGTCGACAGTGGCGCCGCTGCCGGGGAAGGCTGCCTCTCGGGACCTCGGTCCGCCTGTAACCGCAGAGGCGAGGAAGGCGTTGGTGATCGAGGCGCTCAACTCCATTACTGACGTCGATATTGTTTCTCTTGGAAATGTCAGGGTGCGTTGAGGCGAGAGTGCAGCGACGACTGAGAGTCCGACCCATCTCGACACCCCGGTGAGGTATTCTGAGTATTGCAATTTGTGCATTTCTGTTTTCAGCATGAAATTCCTCTGGCATGCTCTTGTGATTGGAGGGAGATTGTCTTCTGATTTCCCTACCCTTTGTCGGTCCACCTGATTCAGATCTCTTTGAGTGAAAATTGTAAGCAAGGAAAGAACTGGAGGGACTGAAGGGGAGGGGAGAACCGCCCCGGATCGCAAGGAGTTGGGGGAAATAGACAGGCTAGTTGATCCGATTCCTAGCGGGAGGTCTGATTAGGACACTATACAATGTCGGGGGAAAGCGTCCCGGGTAAATCCATGTTTGAGGTGGGCCGAGTAGAGACATGGTGCCGGATAGGATTGCACGAGGGAGATACCGCCGTTCCGTGAGCGTGTGACTTCGGTCCGACCCTATGACGCACGAGTTGGCCGGCTCGCGTCAAGGGATTGCTCTCGGGATCGGTAGGCCAGCGATGATGGCGACATGGGATYAKCCTYTCTTTCGACATGAGGGTAGGAGGAGATACGCCAGAGGGCGGTTCTCTTCTAGGCCTGTTGACGTCGTCAGGGATATAGGCGGGTCCAGTGGAGGCCTGTCGTGGGGATCTATGAGCTCATCAGTCGGGCTGGGCTACACAACGTCTGAGAGAGTAACCTTTCATCTCCTTGTTGATTAGTAAGGTTAATGGAGGGTTGAAAAAGGAGCGCCGGGAAGTTATGGAGAAGGTTTATCTTTCGGAGATGAGGAGTGAGCTTAATATTCCTGAGAGAAAGATGGCGGTGGAGAATTCTGATGGAGGAGAAAGGTGGGATAGTGAATTTGAGAGCAGACCTCCTCATGTAAAGGCGACAACCGGAGTAGGAATCCCTGGGGGCGAGACTTGGCGAAAAGGACGATGTGAGCCACCATGCAGACCAAGTCCATATGCTATGGTGTGCGGACCGTTGTGCAGTCCTTTGTTTTACCAACCACCCTACTTCGGTCAGCCTCTATGTTTCACGGGACATCGGGTAACAAAATTCATGAACGACTGGGAAGTTTATGCCTTGAGAGCGGGATGGACTGATCCGGAAGCGATAATGGGATTCATTAATCATACCGATCTCAAACTAGACAAAGACGTGCGTGCTGCTATACCAGAGGATTGGAGGTGGGCAACTTTCAGAGAACGATTATCTCGAGCTTTTGCATGCGATGATATCTCCTACTCGGTCGAGGACTTAATGGAGATGAAGAAGGAGGAAGGAGAGACATTAGTGACATTTGCGAGACGCTTTGAGAGGGCATCTGAACCATTGATAGAAAATGGGTTTCTCGGTGAGATAGAACGATGCGGCATATTCATAGGGACTCTGCCTATCGAGAGAAGAAAGTTTGTTATGGAGAACATGCCTAATAAATGAGTGACGTTCGCTCAGACAAGGGCATTGGCTTTGCAGACTGGGGGACTGGATGCCAAAGCTCATCTACTTGGGGTGTTGGAGAAACTAGGGAAAGGAGAACCCGAAAGTCATTTAGAAAAACAATTCGGTGATGAGGACGGAAGAGAGTTCATGCCGCCTGAAAAAGGTAAAGTAAGTAGAGATAGAGGGGAATGGAAAGGAAGAAACCGCAGCAACTGGAAGAAGGATGACGATAGGGGATTTCGAGATAGGCGTTGGAGAAGTAGAGAAGAAGAGAAAGAGCGAAGGAGATCATATAGGGAAGGATGGGAAACGGTCGAGGAGATTGAAGCCCTAAGGGCCGAACGAGAAAGGGTGAAGAGAATGAAGAATGTCCCACCTCAAAGGAGCGTGGAATCGTTGAAGATTCCCTTACAACAAGGACCTCAGGACAGACGAGAAAAAGACTCTGGGAAAACCATCGAGCTGGATGAGTGAAGAAAGATCGAATGTGCGAATGACAAGAAAGATATATCATGCGGACCTTCTACGAAGATGAATACTGACGTTAAAACAAGAACAACCCAGGAGGTGATTCAGAAAATTCAAGGAGAAATCTGGGTGTCGAGTATCAGGTTTGACTCCGTTTGAGGAGGACCGGAATACAAGTGAGAATGAGGAGGAAGATATACGCTGTCGAACTTCCACCGAGATGGGTATTAGCAATGTAGTAAGGACAGCGGAAGAGTCAGAGTAGGGAGAGTTCTGGGTATCTAGTGTCCAGTTTGAGGAGGACCCAGACCCGAATGATAGTCTGACGGTTGGGGTTTCGAGTATTCGGTTCGAGAGTTGCCAGAAAGATTCTGATGCAGCTCCGGTATGTGYTGAGAAAATGAGTGAGGAAGCAGAAGAAAATGGAGCCGATAATACTAACCTTGATATTAAAGTCTCGCCGAGGGGCGAAGGGCCGAAGGTTGTTTAGGAAACGTGGGTAGATCGAACCACGACACAGGAAGAGATACCAATGATTGAAGAATGCAGAGGCTTGAAAAAAATTGGCGATACTCAAAACAAGAGGGCAGAGGACTCAGACACAAGCTATGAGTTTGCCCCAGCGTTTAAGTGTGTAGAGCCGGATATCAGCTATGATCTGGCTCAACTTTCTGAGACCATCAAGCCAGATCTTAGCTATGAGTTGGTTCAACTGTTTGAGACCCCCGATTTGGACATGGTTTGTGAGCTTGCCCAACCATTTGAGTCTGTTGGCCCAGATGTCGGCTACAAGCTGGCTCATCCTTTTGAGACCGTCGAGTCGGACGTCAGCTATGAGCTGGTGCAACTATTTGGGACCATCGAACATGTTGACGATTATGACTTAGCTCAACTCTTTGAGGCCTCCGAACCGGGTATCGACTATRGRCTTACCCRACTGTTGGAGACTGTCGAGCCGGACGACGGCTATGAGCTTGCACAACTGTTTGAGACCCTCGACTCCGATGTCGACTATGATCTTGCCCAACTRTTGGAGACCATCGATACGTCCGAAAACGATGTCGGGTATAGTTTTAAGAGCCAAAAGCTGGTAACTATGAAAAATATTGAAGATTTCATAATGAATCAATGCACGACGRTGAGTGTTGAAGGARAATTAGACGGGAACCTCTTGGAAGGACAAGACAATGAGATTCGACTTTCATCTGACCAAGAAGGCGGAGGAAAGACCATTGTGGAAGTTAAGTTTATTGAGGATGCAGACCATCTTAAAAGCACGTCGAGAGAATTTAAGGAACTGTCAGAACTCAAGGAAGGGTTTCAAGTGAAGAAATCCGTTATTGACGATAATGATTCGATTAAGACTGGAAATYGGGTCGCAAAATTTCAGCTTGGGATAAGAGTGCGAGGCTGGAATGAAGACTTGCGCCTCCTTTTTCTCTTACTGATCATCCTWACGTCAACTTATGCTCGTACTTTCCGTTGTYGGTGCTACGACTGCAGCTTTAATGTCGGCATCTTACTWAGCATGGCTGATCGTCTCATTACGTTTGATCTTTATGGTGGCGCGAGCTCCTTGTGGGTCCGTACAAGCCTGTCCTGCGATCTGTCATGCGATGTCTTTCCTATACTCTTTCAAGCCTTACTGGTTGGGTGGAGAATGGGTGCAAGGAGGAGAAGGATGTTCGTAAACGGGGGAGGTAAAACTCGGAAGTTCGGAGGTCCGATGTTCGAAGAAGGAGGTACTTTAACATTTATCAAACTGATCATGCCGACTAAGCGTATGAGCAAAAGAAAATTTTACTTCCACAAGTGGCGAGACAAAACCAAAGTTCGCTCGAATCTGGCAACGCGGGAGTGGTTGAAAGGACGAGCTAGGGATAAAAAGCGGAAAGCTAAAAAAAGCGATGGTGGAAAGAGAGGTAGGAAGAGCTAAAAGAAGAAAGAAAATTATGAGAGTGATATGTCTCTTGGGGTTGATCGGGTACAGATTAGGTGTCAGCCGATTAAATTTTTCCTTCTCGATAAACAGACGATACTCCAAGATCGCTCGTCGGGGACGTCGAGAATGGGGGGGGGGCTGYTGTCGGGCGGCTCCAGCCYTACGCCGCCCTTTWCTTCCTTTACAAGGGCGCACAACGAGGTTCGCATTTGTTGGTTTCTACCTGGCAGGGGCTCACCRGCCATGGGAAAATGCCGCGACAGGTTGACGGAACGAGTGGTCGGGCTACGACGTTCAGTTCGAGCAGGGCTTGAGCGTTGAACAGTGGTATCTTCGCGGAGAGAGGCTAAGACATAAGCTACAAACGAACGCAAAGAGGCTACCACAACGGACAACTGCCGAGGGGTCGGACAAGGGGGCCCGGCCTCGAAAGGTCGGAATGATACTAAAGGTCGGCGGAATAGTCGAGGGAATGGAGGCGTCGGGCGTTTATCGTGAGGCTACGGACATCTTAAGCGGCGGCAGTGCCCGAAGTTGCCTCGAGTGACCGAATTCTCAAGAACACCCTGCGTGAACAAGTGGTGGGGATATGGCCTACGCAGGGGCCTCGACACTAAGAGGAGAAGGGTACGGGCCTAAGGCTCAGAAATGGACCTCACGACCTAGAGTTTTGGGCGGGCCTGCGTGACTTTCACAAGGGGGGCTGGTACCACTTATGAGTGGGGACCACCAAGGCCGAGATAGGTCCGGTACCGGGGCGCTGCAAAAGGTCCGGTTCTCGACAAAAAGGCTCTCCTCGACAAAGACCTTTCCGGGGCCCAAACAGGCTCGGGCATAGGCCCGGTACCAGGGCGCTGCAAAGTTCCCGACACTGATCGGCCGACGGCGGGGGAGAGCTGGCTGCTGGGAGCTGGGACCGTGGGACCAGCAAACTTTATAAGCCCAAGAGGGCTCATTCTCGGGGGACTCTCACCTGCGCACGGGAAGGGCGCACGGGAGTGTGTTGATCCCTCGCGCACTGGTTTCCGGATGGAGGGGGCATTTGGAACGCAGGAGCGAACAGGTAACAGGTAAGGTCATGCACCCAAAAAGCACGAGGGCCGCACCGGGAAGGAACCAATCAGCGCACACGGGAAGAGCCACACACGGGGAAGAAGCTACTAATAGGCTATGTGTGTGTGTGAGAGAGGGAGAGAGATCCCTACGGGTGTTGGCGCAATATGATTTGTGCCCAGTGCTCTGATTGCCGAAACGAGGAGACTCAACCAGGCGCAGGTAAACGCCGGAAGTAACTATGGTTTTCTTAAGGTAGCCAATGCCTCTTCATCCAATCAGTGACGCGCGCAGTTGGATTAACGAGACCCCCTCTGTCCCTACCTACCTCTCCCGGAGTCGCACCCAAGTTTGAAGAACCGGCGGGAAAGAAGGCGCGAGGCCAAGCCAAAAAGGCATTGCAATGTTATCCCTATCTACCATCCTGCCAAACTACAACCAAGGGAACGACTTTGGAGGGATCAACGGGAGAGGGAGAAGTGCCACGTCATCTAATTAGTGATGCGCGTCAGTGGACCAACGGGACTCCCACTGCGCCTATCTACATCCCTCTAAAGCCACAGTTGTGGGAGCATTCCTGGTATTGGCAATTGGCTGCGTGGGCGACATCATCAAGTACTTCGGTGGCTGCTAACGTCGACAGTTGTTTCGTCGATTTGTGGGCGGATAGTAACTGTGAGGCATTCCTAGTATTGGCGGTTGGCTGCACGGACGACATCTTTAAGTACTTCAGTGGGTGCTGACGTCAACAATCGGTTCGTCAATCCGTAGGCAGATAATAGTTGTCAGGGTGTCTACATTCACGCTCGCCCTCGCTGGAGGTGCAAGAATCTGGCCCTCTCCTCGGTCCAGATTCATGCGCTTTGCACGAACGTGCGTGCGGCACCAGAAAGAGGGCACAGGCCCTGTCTCTTATACACATCTAGATGTGTATAAGAGACAGGGTAAACGGAGGGAGTAAGAGAGAGAGAGAGAGAGAGAGAGAGAGAGAGAGAG